ACAATATAGCTTAATAGCCGTAAAAAAACTTATCACAACTTTATTACAATATGTTGAATGGGAAAGCGGTAGTAATGGCTCTTTATGTTCCTTAAGTGTCCATTTCACTAATCCAAAACAGTAGCAAAATAAGCGTTTGGCATTTAACGTTTTATGTAAAACTGGCTAGGTATTTTCACATAACTAAAGAAGGAAATTAAAAATAAAGTATTATACTATATATCCGTATTGTAGCACATTTTCAGACAACTTTATTGTAACAGTCAAATTTCCTCGCAACGAACTCTGTGTGCTGGCTCATAAATGATCGCAAATAACTATTATTTTTGCATCATGTTTACTATAATTTTATTGTTAAATATTATTTTATGTAAATTTTACGATTATGCAACCCGATATACACCGCGATAGCTACAGCTCCACAATATTGTCACTGACTGCGCCCAAGCAGAATGCTTTTTGTCCATCTCTCTTTATCTTTGATATCACCTGTCCGTCACTTGTCACTGTCAGATCAAATCAGATGTTTTTGGATTTATTTATCCTTTGTTTTAGTTATTGAAATTTTATAATTATCAGATAAAATTTCGTAGTTAAATCGTTTATTTTTGATGTGGATCGCAGTGTGCAATTCGTTCATTTAATTGTGGGAATTTCTGAGTTAAGTTCGTTCATTGACAGAACATCGTTTTTTATTTATGCCTTTTTGTGAGTGGGACTAGTCGAGATATATAGTTCTCTATCTATATCCTGGAAGGAGATTTCTGGTTGAAATCTGATTTTGTGAAGGAAAGCGAATCCTTGCATCACTTCTTGTGTATTTCCCGAACCGAAGAACATCGTGTGAAGAACTGGCTGCCTGTTCCGTGAAGCATTCCCTGTTGGTAATTAGCAGGTCTTCTTAGAGAAGGACTAAGTCTTCCGAAACACATTTGGTCAGAGACGTGGTTGGATTTTGTTGAATTTGTATGGACCACCGACCAAATTTCCGTCAAGGGATTAAATAGCCGAATTTTCACCCGTTGTTCCGATTGCACGTGCCCAAGAAGTCCCCGAGAGTTCCAAGGTTTGCTATAATTCTTCTGCCTATTCTAAGTCAATGCTCAACTGATTTTTGTTCGTATTGTTGACTGGTTTTCGACTTTTCCACGCCCACGTGGTGTAGAAAGATTAGTTGAGTGTTATCTTTCTTAAATCTTATTTGGTTGTTCGTAATTGTAGAGCAAGAAGACCGATCCAGACCGTAAAGCACAGAACAGTCCAGAATTCCATCCGTTCCTGTTGTCCGTGTAGAGGTACCCGTTGGACATCATAAACCCTCGTTGAGGTAAAGTTCAGATTTAATTAGTCCATCTCTATTACCTTTATTAACTCCTACACGTTGTGCTAGTCCTTGTTCTATAATTGAGGCTCTTTTCTAAGACAACCAATATTATTTAGGGTTTTTTATGTTCATCACTTGAAGTCTCAACAACTGCCTTACACCTGTACCTCTGCTATCATTCATCGAGCTGCTGTGCACCGCCGTAGCAACCCTGTAGACACCGTAGCTCAGTCGGAGAAAGTTCGAGTAGTTTTCAAGTACTTGTTAAGACATTACACTGTAGAGTAAGACTGTTTAGATTTAGTTTGATATTTGTAATCCACCCAGGATTTTGTACTTAGTTTCAGTAAGGGGGATTATGACGTCATACTTTTAGTTAGTTTTCTTGATTTAAATTACATTTATCTTAAATTTCATTTCTTTCATTTCTTGGTATATTAACTTTTGACATTTAATAAATTGCTTAATCATTTTTAGTAGTATTATTTACAGTCTGGTCTCATAGTTAAGTTAGAGTCACTTAAGTTCAAATAATTATAGTAATATTTGAAGTTCATGGTAGTTGCACTCAACAGTTCGAGGTTAGTGTTGAAGTCTACTTAATAGTAACATCTTTTATGCCGAGTTCATAGAGTATAATCTCGTGGCGCCCTTTTATTAAGATCTTTGAACCCCGACCACCCGGCTGTTAAAATTAAAAAGCTAGTGGCCTCTATGTAACTCATCCCGATTAAGTAAACTTGTGTATTGAACTTCGAATGAGAAAAAGACGCGGCATTATTTTTAAGATTTTGATGGTCAAACATCAACAAAATATTCCTTGAAAATAAAACTGGACATTATTTGCAGTGCAGTGGCGAAATACCCATATAGGATTTTTTTGAAAAATATTCCTTATGTTTGGACTAAATTTTCTCTAAAATAAAGACATAATTTAAAATTCCGTTTCTTCTTCTTAAGGTGCCGTGCAGATTCCTGCGTAGGCGTTCATCTTTTTCTTCCTCATCAGATGGTTCTGTTAACTGCAGCGACTTGGAGTGCTTGGAAGTCCTGTATGCCTGTCCAATGACGAATATTTCTCAGCCAGGATAGCTTCCTTCGTCCTATTCCCCTTTTGCCTCCTTCTATTTTACCCTGGAGAATCAGACGCTGAAAGTGATAGCGTTCTCCACGTAATATGTGTCCCAAATAGGCTATTTTCCTCTTCTTGATGATTTCGAAGAGTTCACGTTGTTCCAGACCAGCTCTCCTGAGAATGTCTTCATTCCTCACACGGTCGACCCAGGGCACTCTTAGCATTCGTCGTAAGGTCCACATTTCGAAGGCTTCAATTCGGTTTATTTTTGCTACCTTCAGTGTCCATGCTTCCACACCATATAACAAAACGGACCAGACATAGCACTTCACCATTCTGTATCTAAGGCCGAAGTTCAAATTCCTATCTGTGAGAAATCTTCGCAGTCTCAGAAAAGTAAATCTTGCTTGTTCGATCTTGCATTTGATCTCCTGATCTGGATCCCACGTTTCGTTAACCATGCATCCCAAACATTTAAATTGTGTGACCTGCTTGATGACCTCTCCATTTAAGTAAATTCTGGTGTTCGGAATATTGTTTCTGCTAACAGCCAAAAATTTAGTTTTTCTAGTATTTATGTTTAAACCCAGTCTTTGATTTTCACTGTTAACCTTATTTAGAAGGATTTGGAGATCATTTGCATTGTCTGCCAATATCACTGTGTCATCCGCATATCGAATATTATTAATTGGAATGCCATTTATTTTCAAACCAATGGGACTATCGGAGATTGACTCAGTAAATGCTCTTTCCACATATAAATTGAACAATATTGGAGACAGAATACACCCTTGCCTTACCCCCTTTTTATTTCAAAATCTTCTGTTACTCCCACACTATGTATACGAATTTCAGCTTTTTGGTTCCAATACAAATTACTGATGAGCTTTATATCTTTTCCATCAAGTCCCAAGTCTCTGAGGTATGATATACGAACGCCTTTTCATAGTCTATAAAGCACATGAAGACATCTTTTCTCTGATCTTGGCAATTCTGTACTAAAGTTTGAAGACTGAATATGGCTTCTCTAGTACCAAAGCCGTTCTTAAATCCAAATTGACTTTCTCCACTTACTTCCTCACATTTTTTGTAGAGTCTTGTATGCAGTACCCGTAAAAAGAGCTTAAGAAAGTGGCGCATTAGACTAATAAGACGATACTCTTTACACGAAGTTGCGTTACTTGACTTGGGCAGCGTGATAAACGTAGAACGAAGCCAGTCTTCAGGGATGTGACCGGTGTCATAGATGTGAAAAGCTGTACTATAGTTTTTAAGTTTTGTTCATTAATTAAGTGGAACGTTTCCGAATACATATCATCAGGCCCTGGAGTTTTGTCGTTTTTCATTAATCTAATCGCATGAATAATTTCATTTTCCAATATGCTTGGTCCTGATGGCATGGGAATCTCAGTTACAGGGTTTTCTGATCTTTCGTCGTTGAAAAGATTAATGGTATAATTTCTCCAAGTTTGCAATAGTTCTTCTGTTTCCGTTATAATTTTATTTTCATCAGTTTTAGTTAGGGTTATTGATTTATTATGGTGTAACCCAGCTATCTCTTTCACTTTCTTGTGAAGATGGAAACTATCTCCAAGGTAACTGAGATTTTCGGCCTCTATACATCTCTCCTTCAACCATGTCTCTTTTTCCGTTCTTATTTTATTACGAATTTTTCTTTGCATAGATTTATATTCGTTGTGATTATTCTGGATTTTAAATTGTCTTCGTTGTTCCATCATTTTTAAAATATCTTCAGTCATCCACTCGTTTTTCGCTGTTGTTCGATTAGTCGTGAGAAGGTTTTCATTTGTGTTCTTGAAAGCTTGCTTAATGCCCAGCCAATGTTTCTCAATGTCATTTGTTCTGACAATACTTTCCAATTCTCTATTTATATGGTTTTCGTACAATGATCTTTTGTGCTGGTCTCTGAGAAGTTTTGGATCCAAGTTCTTTCTCAAGCTTTTTCGTTTAGGTTTGGCAAAACGCAATAGAATGTTGGCACGTAATGGATTATGGTCCGATTCAGTATCGGCACCTGGCATTGTAGTTACTTTAAATTCCGTTACAATAGGGAAATAGATTACAGTGATATATAATTTATATGGTTTTGTAACAAATTGCTGGCTATTTTATGGCAAATGCTGAAGCTCTGCAAACCTTAATCAAGCCTTAATCAAAGCACGTGTGTTTGAACTTTTGGGTGTGGCTTAACAAGACAGAATCGGGCTAAGCCTTAGGCAGATTTCTGAAATATAATATATACTTCCTTCGGCCACACACCCGCTTTACCCGACCCCTGAGAGCGACCCGAAAGTACAGCGTAATAGATTCTTAAGTGCCCAAACCAAGACCGCAAGACCGGTCCCATAACGTTTAAGACGCGAAAAAAAGTGGCAAACTGGAAATTATTTTCATCTCTCAGAAAGGAAAACCGTCGCGCGTCGGTTTGGTAAACAACACTTGTTAAGATTAAAACTTCTCAGAGACTTGTCAGTAACACTTGATAAAATTTAAAGAGAAACTAAAAAAAAACATGCAAAATGAAATGTTACCAACAACACCAATTTACTAGTGCCATAATTAACTCTAAACAAAGCTCACCTGGAAATCTTCTACGCCTTCTCCAACCTGTTCCACGTCTCCGGCACACTCGAATCCAAGAATAAACGGGCATTTGGGTGGAGAGTCTATGGCCCCTTGACGTACCATTAAGTCTTGGAAGTTAAGTCCGCTGAAACGAGAAACTGCACTTTAAAACCATCCATAGATTCACTTCATGCTTATTTAATAGTACTCAGCATGGGTTCCGTACATTGGATTTTGCCATTTCTTGTTGAATTTTATGTTTTAAAGGAATATATTTAAAGAAAATATTGATATTTTATGCACTTTGGTGCTTAATCTTCAGTTCAGGGTGCCCATTTTCTTTTATTTTATATTTTCTTTAAATGGGAAATTCTGTATGTTATTATTTATTTTATTTGCCTTGCTCTGATTTCAAGAATGACAACTCTCAGCGAAAAACTAGTTACGCCACTGAATTGACTCAGTTTTCACCATTTCTATAAGTTATAAGATAACCGAGATACGAGAAAAGACGAAAAAATGCAACAGTTTCAAATTCGCCTTGTATTTCAAGAACTTAGAGATCTAGAACAAACATGTGTGTACCAGCTTTAGTATCATAAAAAAGTAGCACAGTAATATGAAAACCGCATTTTTGTATCTTTAATAATAAACGAGAAACCCTGTAAAACACACGAAAATGGGAGACCCTATACAACAAAATATTGATGCCTAGTAAGTAAATATTGTTTATTATTATTGAAATGCAACACTAGAAGAAATCTTCCGTCAACTGGACTGGGCTAACAAAGAATTAAAAATAGATGGAGAATATCATAACCCTCTAAAGCGACCCATACATTGTCAAACAAATTGCGCAACACAGGCGGTTGCGCAACGAGTTGCCAATGTATGATAACGTTTGATCGTTGCGCAATTGTTTGATAAATTTCAAGATTGTTTGAATTTTTTTGTGCACCAGGACTCTGCGCAACGCGTTGTGGAGTGTATGTGTGTGCGGAGCTTCGTTGTGCAATATTTTAGTTCTTTCATTCAAATTCTATGGTTTCTTTTTCGTTTTTTTGGTATCACCGACATCATCTAGGGTATATATGATAATAATTGACGCAATTGCAATTGAGGACATGATTGTTTCTCGAACAATGCGCAACTTTTAATAAAAAGTTTGGTCATCATTTTACCAAGAGAATGGGTATTGCAGTTGTGCAACGCAACGTTGCGCATCGCTTTGTTGCGCAATTTGTTTGATAATGTATGGGCCGCCTTAGATTCGCTGATGACATAGTCCTAATTGCCAATAGTCCTGAAGAATTACAAGCACAAATTAACGAACTAAATACAGCCGGCAATAAAGTAGATCTCAAAATGAATTTTAGCTAAAGTTATATACAACATATAACGAACTAGTAGACAGAAAAGACATTCTAATAAATAATACAACACTGGGAATAGTAGAAGAATATTTATATTTAGGACAACTAATACACAGTTCAGGATCTCTACTACCAGAAATCAACAGAAAAATTAAGTTAACATGGAGTACTTATGGAAGAAACTCAATCATATCCAAATCTAGAATGTCATTTTATCTAAAGAAGAACACACAAACATTCGACCAATGTGTACTACCTGTCATGACCTATATACATGCGAAACTTGGACACTATTTATTATTTATTAAAACGGACATTATAAGGAATCTGCAAGTCGCACAACGCTCAATGGAACGAAATATGCTGAGAATAACCAAAAAAGACCGTAAAAGAATAGAATGGATACGACTAAAGACCCAGGTAATAGATGTCATCCACAGAATCAAATCCCTCAAATGGCAATGGGCAGGACACCTCCAAGAAGGACGGACCACAGATGGACCACATAAACTACAGCATGCTACCCACGAGAAATAAAAAATACCTAGAAGAAGACCAGAGATGAGACCATGATATTAAGAAATTAGAAGGGATAACTTGGGCCCGCATATAGCCAACAAGAGACTTAGTTGAAGAGACCTAGAAGAAGACCAAACCTAAGATGGGACCATGATATTAGGAAATTAGTAGGGATAACTTGGGCCTGCATAGCCAACAATAGACAACACCCCAATGGGCCCAACTACAAAGAGAGTATCTAAATATGTGAGGGAGGCTACACCATAATTGGAAATGGTTGAATAAGCTGAAAATGATAATGGTCATAATGATGATGTTTATTGAAGCGTTGATAATGACAAGTAGATCTTAATAATTAAAAATTATTTTCCTTTTCTCATAAAATAAAGGTTTTTCCAACCAACTGGTCCATTATTTTTACACTGTTAAAATTTACTCTGTGTCCTGTGTCCCATGAATGCTGGCAAATCCTAGATTTGCAAAAATCGCCATTTTTTAAATAATCTTCATATTATTCTTTAATTCGAACATTTAATGGTCTAGTTTATGGATATTTCAACAATATAATATTTATTCAACATTCACATGGTAGTTTGTATATCACATTTATGGTTTGCTGTTCAGTGTTCATTGGCTTAGTGTGTGTAAAAATGGATCTAAGTATATTATTAACATACAAACATCCTTCAAAACACAAAAGAATGTCAATAAGTTTATACCTCCATTTTCTCCAAAATAGTAGCATAATGAAACAAGACAAATTTGGTTTAAGTATAACAATACATCATACATCCATCTTTCACTGAGCACCATAACACTTTCAAGTTTTCCTCAAGACGAAAATAAAACCAAAAGAAACCTCTACTGTACTCGTACCTTAGCAACCAGACTCAATGCTGCTTTTACCCTTATTCCTAAAAATATATATAGCCTTGTTTTTCTCAAGTTCAAAAGGAGAATTATTTCTTACAATGCCTCGAGCAAGAAATATATTTTCAGAAAGATTCTGTGTCAAAAGAAATGAAGAATGAATTTTCTCATAAACATAAATTGGGTTGCCGCCTTTTTAAGTCTAATTCGATTGGCTTGTTTCATATCAGTCTGATAATATTACAGAAAATAGATGGTAAAAAACTCCCACATATAGCTTTTAGAGATATTTGAGATATTTTTATAGCTCTGAAATTTTGGTACTACTAGAGTAAAAAAATTGTAAATCCAAACCAAGAGTATGTACTAGAATGTATTTCAGGAAAATATTTTAACTTCTATAGGGTGGCTCAAAAAAGTGTGAGTGAATCGGGATGATTTTTTTTCAATTTACACCCTGTATATTATTGAATTTTTGGCTTCATCTCAGATCACTTTACATAATCTTAGGAATATGAGGAAATATATTTCAATAGTTTTAGAGATGATGTTTTTTTTTTAAATTTTCAGCCTTTCTTAACAAATTATTAAAAATACTAGAACTGTCCTGAAATCAAAACTATATTAGGCCTTTACTTTAGATGGTCTGTACTTACTTTGTTATAAATCGTAATTTTGAATCATACAGGGTGTTCGAAATTCTAACAACCAAACCAAACCAAACACAACCAAACCAAACCAAACCAAACCAAACTTTCTAAAACATAAAATACATTTTTCTTTATTTTTTTTTAAATGGATCTGAACGAATGCCATCAGTAAATTTAATTTACTGATAATTTACTAAATTATACCGCACACTGGGTGGTTGTAGGCATTTTAGAACTGTACAACATAATATCCACTCATCCGTACACTAGAAGACAACATTAATTTTTTCATATACAGGGTGTTTCGAATTTTAATCGGGAGACGTTGACAACATATTCTGCAGATAAAAATAAGTAAACAAGTTTTTATAAGTTCATGTCTTAACATGCTTTGTTTCATGAAGAGTACCTAATACGGCACAAAAATACTGTGGCATCCGAGAATCTGGCCATTAGTTTTTGGTGGGGGTGGGGGGTTGGTAAGGGGGTATGGGAGGGGGTTAAACATTTTAAAAAATCGTAACTCCAAAATTACGGTAGCTATAGCGAAACGCGGTGTTCAATTTAAGATTAGGAATAATATTTGCAACAAAATTAGTAATAACATCAAAATCAGTCAAAGTCGCAGTTTTTGAGATAATTGAAACTAAAAAAACTGCCTACCAACTTTTTATTAACATATTTTAGTATGGGCGGCTATACGTACCTCCCGACGCCAATTTTTTTAGTCAATATAATGACATGTACTGACTATTTCCATTCTAAATATCTTATTGAGAACGGTTGCTCGAAGCGATTATTATTAAGAGACATTTTTTAAAATAACGGAAGTGTATAGTATTTTTTCACTCAGTAGTTTTATACAGGTACGGACGAAAAGTTATTACTCTTCAAATAAGCCAGTAAACGTAGCCGAGTATTATATGTAAAGGTGGAAAAAATTAGTAACCAACCAATCTCAACGGGTATATGTAGATTATGATCTCCTATTTAACCTCTCAAAAGTCCCATTCGGTCCCAGTGGGAAGTTTGAAAAAACCCGCCGCCATCTTGGATTTTTTCGTTTTTTTCAAATATCTCCGTTTGCATTACTTTTTTCGAAAAAATTAAGGATATGTTTTCTGTAGAGAACCAAACCAAACCAAACCATTTTTCCTCTAAAATAAATAGTAATAGAGATAGAGCAATTTTTTTCTATAGGGTTTATAAATTTTCCAGTTTTTTGAACCATTCAGTTTTAATTTTTGCGTTAATAGTATAGTGTTAATGTAGATAAACCAAGTATAAATTTAAGCATTAAAACAATTAAAAATAACGTTTAAATATTATTTATTAAATAAAATTATTGTTAAAAAAGTTATTATGAAATTAAAGTTATTAAATAAAATCTGCTATGACGTCATCCTGAGCGTCATTTTAGCTTCAACTAAAATACAAAAGCTTGTGATATTCTTTGGTGATACTGATTTCGTAGTAATGACCACACTTTGAAGAACATGCAAAACCCAGTTCCCTACAAGAACAACTTTTAGAGCACTGACTTCTTGATCTTTGCAATTACAAAAAATTAATTTTAGTAGGTCAGGAGCATAGACAAACTAACAAAAGCAAGACGCGTCAACGCTGTACTGTAAAACGGTAACAAGTTTGATAAGAGTTTATTACCGCGCTTGCGTCAACTGGCCTTTTAGACGAGGACGGTTTACTTATGGATTGTGTATTTTGTAGTAGCC